GGAGCCCCCAGAGGCCCGGGAAGGGTCAGGGACCGCCCGAACTTTCGAAGACTTTTGAAAACCTCCGCAGGGAAGGGGCCGAATTTCCAAGGCCACTAGGGATGGCGCGAACGACCAACATATGCAAAGCCTCAAGGACCGAGGTGCATGGCGCGAAGCGCCAGTGCAGTCTTGTATATATATATATATATATATGCATATATATATATACACACATGTACCTGTATGTATATCTTCGTGGCGGCTCTTCTTGCGACAAGCGGCTGCGCGCACGACGCCGCACAGTGCGCGTGGGCACGGACGTCCTCCGAGCGGTGGCGCGCTTCTGGGGGGCGCCTCTCCTCCGCCCCGCCCCCCCCCCCCCGGCGGGCGCGGCCAGTCTCGGCGCGGCTGCACAGCTGGCGCCTCCCTTGAGGGGCCGATTTCCCACCACCACCACCACCACCACCACCACCACCACCACCACCACCACCACCACCACCACCACCACCACCACCACCCCGGAGGAGGAGGAGGAGGAGGAGGAGGAGGAGGGAGGAGGAGGAGGAGGAGGAGGAGGAGGAGGAGCAGGAGCAGGAGCAGGAGCAGGAGGAGGAGGCGGAGGAGGAGGAGGAGGAGGAGGAGGATGAGAAGGAGGAGGAGGAGGAGGAGGAAGAGGAGGAGGAGGAGGACCATCAAACTTGCAGCGGGCACTCGGCCAGTCTGGGCTTCTGAGCTGGAGATCCAGCAGACGGGGTCGGAGGGATCGCTCCGCATCGACGACGCATCGCCGCTGCCCTGGCGACGTGGAGCCCGATGTCCTCCACGCCGACGGCGCCGATGCAAATGCGACGTCGTCGATGCATCGCCGATGCCTTGGCGATGCGGCGCGATCCTGCGGCCCCACCTACTCGCACCCCATCTGGGAGGCCTCTAGCTAGGTGCCCCACGATAACTCCGTATCTCCCGATGGGCCCGGAGACCCCTGGGGGCACCGTACCTACATGTGTCGAGGTGGACGAAGAGAGCGCCCCTGCATCTCTCACAGCAGGCCCCGTGGGAGTGGCGTTGACGGTCCCACATGGGCGGATCCAGCGCCTCCCCGGTGCGCGACCTGGGCTCTGGGGCTCCAGTCGTGATTTCTTGCGATGCTGTAATTTTCCGCAACGTCGGATCTCAGGGAAGCCCAGCCAGGCTGGGTGGCGCCGCGAAGCACGCACCCCAGGGGCAGCGATAGCGGGGGATAGGCTCAGGAGGGAATTCATCGGCCCCCAATCGCCCATTGATCGCCGACGGGAGCCCGAGAGCCCACCCCGCTCAGGCACGCGCGGTTTCGCTCTCGGGGCCCCATCGCCGACCTATCGGCGATACATCGCCGATTACAGGTCGACCCCTGCCCCCCTTGTGCCAGCCCCCCTCCGACCGTTGCCCCTCAGCACCGAGCGGCGTGCCCCCTGCGCACGCAGCCGCTCGCCGCCGCCCCACTCGAGCAGTGTTTCCATGGTGGCCGGCCGCCGCTGCCGCCGCCGCCGCTGCCACCGCCGCCGTGGCCGCCGCCGCGGCCGCCGTCGTCGGCAGCACCGGCTCCGTGCCCCCCGCCTGCCCGCTCCTGCAGGCGCTGGACCACGGCGCCGGCTCGCCGTGCTGCCGCCTGGCCGCGGGGCTCGAGGCCAGCACCGACCCCCGGGCGGTGGCGGCCGAGCCGGGGCCCACGGGCGACGCGGAGGGCCTGGTGACGGTGCGACTCGCCGTGAAGGGCACCGCGGGGGCGGGGCAAACCATCCAGGGTGCGACGAGCGAGCAGCCCGGCGGCGGCCCAGATCTCTCGGCGGCAGCGGGGCGGGTGGCCCTCCGTACTCCCGGGGCGGGCTCACCTGCTCCTCCTCCTTCTCCCCCTGCCTCTCCTCCTCCTCCTCCTCCTCCTCCTCCTCCTCCTCGTCCTCCTGCTCTTTCTCCTCCTCCTCCTCCTCCTCCTCCTCGTCCTCTTGCTCTTTCTCCTCCTCCTCCTCCTCCTCCTCCTCCTCCTCCTCCTCCTCCTCCTCCTCCTCCAGAGGGGACGGAGGGGGCTATGGGTGCGTATTGTCGGATGGAGGTCCCCGTTCGAGCGGGAGTCCCCCCCCAGGTCCGACAATCCGCACCCATACCCATGTCCAGTCCTCCTCCCTCCGACCCTCCTGAGGGTATGGGTGTGCGTTGTTCGTTCGTCAAGACGGACATCTTTGTCGCCTCCAGGAGGTCTTCTCGCCTCTGGCTGCCTTCCAGCAGCTGGCGCCTCGTCGATCGATCGCTCTGGGGGTGCCCAGATCGTCCCGAACGGCCGCAGGAGGCCTGAACTTTGGCCCGGAAGCCCAGACCTCCAACGAGGGGTTTTTTGACCATGCCGCTTGTTCTCGATTTCGGCCTCCAGGGCCTGCGGTCGGGCCCCGGGACCAACAGGCCTGGATCCTGGGCGGTACATGTCGGATATGGCCAGGGCACCGAGTAAGGGGAGCCGGTTAGTGACAGGGCCCCGAAGCGAAAAATGCTGGAGCTTCCAGGCCGGAGTCACTAAACCATGTCCGCCGTATCTAGTGTTTTCTGGGTGCGTTGTGCTGGGGAGGCGTCCTCCAGTACACATCACTAATCGGGGAAACGTGAGGCTTGAGTACGCCAGAAATCGGGTTTGCCGACACTTTTTGTTTGACGAGCGCGTCCTGGATTTTGACTGTTCGTGGGATGTTTGCAGAGGGAGCTCGTGGCTGCCAGGGGGGAGGAGGAATGATGGATCTAGGGCCGAGGAGGACACAACAGGAGAATGAAGGAATGGTCTCGGCCTCCTCTCCGCTTCCTCCCGCCTGCTCCGTCTCAGGCCACTCTTGCTAAGACTCTCTCATATCCATACTCACACTGAGACTCTTATACACAAACTCGGAGATCGAGCGGTTTGCTCGTTTACTGGTCCAGGCCTTCTTCTTTGGTGGCCCTCCTGGTCACCGCTGTATGGTGGGCGTGGCATGGCAGCACCGCGTAGAAGGAGTCGTTAGGGAGGGGCAGGCTTGCTTGCCTCTGCCCGGTTGCGGGCTCGATGCATTGTAGGTTCCGTTCTTCTGCTCTTCTTGAGAGATCGCACCAGGGAGGTGGACCCTGACTTGAACATGCGCTTGTTGTCATAATGCTTGGCTGGAGAGGGGACCTGAACAGGTTCTCGCTCCAGCCGTGGGAGAGGTAACCTCCAAAGGATCTGCATCTCCCGCCTGCGCTGGGATGTAGAGGGGCTTTGGCATGTATCGATGCAGCAGGCGTAGCATTCAGGTGCCCTCAAGGCGTGCCGCCAGGGAACACTCGGCCGCCTCAGGCGAAGGCTGCCCCAATCAGAGACTGACGGCGAGAACCGCCAGGAAACGAGATGCACATATCGGGATTCCCGCGCCGAGTATCTCTGTTGATTGCCCAGGGTCCCGAATGTCCCCCCTCCCCCCCTGTGGCACAAAGGCAGGAACAGCATTGGCCTCGGGAATCGACTATCCGCTAGAGGTCTTGGCTTGTGGCCCTCCTGAGGCCCCGAATCTGGCCGAATTCGGCGCGCTCCCCCACAACGCAGGCCACGGCATCCCTGATTCGGTGGAGCTCAGCCGACATTGCAGCTGGCGCCCACGAAACGTGCTGCGAGGATCCCGTGGCCCAGGACGGACCCAGCCAGGGTGAGCGCAGGTGTCTGCGCGGTCGGCGCCCTCGCGTCTTGCCAGGAGCCTGCCTGTGCATGCCTGCCTTGGCGGCACCACTTCCGAGTGCCCATCGCTGGCCTGCACGTTTGTTTTTGTTGTTGGAGTGTGGGCTGCCAGGGCGCCGTCGAGGGCGCGAAGCTCTTCGTGCTTCGCGCTCCGCGGTCCGGCTCTCCCCTCCGGCGGGCGGCACGAGGGGGCCGCGAGGGCAGTCGCGCGCCGCGCGTCGCGCAGGCGGGGAGCGTGAGGTTGGGCGCCCCTGGCTGTCGTCACGCGAGGAGAGGGGCCCGAGAGGAGAGGAGGAGGAGAGAAGGAGGGGAGGAGGAGGAGGAGGAGGAGGAGGAGGAGGAGGAGGAGGAGGAGGAGGAGGAGGAGGAGGAGGAGGAGGAGGAGGGAGGAGGAGGAGGAGGAGGAGGAGGAGGAGGTTAGCGTCCCTGGCTCAGGGGCAGCGACAGGCGGGAAGCGACCTAGGGTCATGATGCTGCAGCCCGCTTCCGCCTGGATCGCCAGAAGGAGGCTCGAGCACCGAGAGGGTGCCGCAGCTGGAGGGCCTTAGCGCGTCGGGCCCTGGGAGGCGATGCTCGTTCGACGCTGCTTCGATACTCTCCTGGGTGCTCGAGATCATGTCTGGGATGTGGTCCTCACTCCAGATCCTTCAATAAGCCCCCCCCCGTGCCAACCTGTCCGACGCCCCTTGCCCGCCGCCCCACGCGCCCCGAGCCTACCCCCTCTCGCTCCCCAACCTCCCCACGCCCCCCGAAGCACCGCGGCTTCCCACCCCCCCACGCGATCCACGCCCTCCGCCCAGGCTTATTGAGAGACCTGGAGTACTCGCTCGACACTGCTTCGATACTCTTCTGGGTGCTCGAAATTATGTCTGGGATGTGGTCCTTGAGCACGATGGGGGCAGCATGCGCCCAGGGAGGGAAGCAGCGACCCCCCAATCGCACACCCGCCGCCGCTCGGGGCCCGGGACCTCCCCGCCGTGCCCCCCCAATGATAAGCGGCGGGTTCCTGTCGGTCCTGGCCGATCTCTCGGCGATGCGTCGCCGATTCCGAGGCAGTTCTCGTTCCCCCTCGCTGTGGCGCCTCCAGGATGTTGGTTGCGTCGGCGAGCCTCGGCGGCGGATCCTCCCCATCAGCCAGCCACACTCGGTGCCGCTCTGACCCACTTAGAGACCTCGACGCCCCCGGGCCACCCTTCGAGCTCCCAGGCCATTACTTCTGCCAGGCTGCGACCTGCGGCGAAGAGGGGCGGCCCTGGGGACGGGGGCTGGGCGCTCCCAAGGGGCCCATGTCGTGGATCAAAAAGCGCGACGTCGGAGGCACGGGCAGAGAAGCATGCCTGTTGATGCGGGCTGGCCTTCTGTTGTTCCCGTCGTACTTGCGGGACGCATCCCAGAACTGGCCCCGAGCGCCCCGAGAAGTACCGGAGCGGTGTGTGCCCGACGCGCGGGCGAAGCGTCGAGGGAGCGTCGCCTCCTGGGGCCCGACACGTGGAAACCCTTCAGTTTCGGTACGCTCTCGGTGCTCGCAAATCTCCCTGGTGGCCAAGGCTCAAGCTGGTCGGAACATCACAAGGGTGGCCATCGGGAGCAAATGAAGTGGGCATCCTCCCAGGCATGACGTGCGGCGCCTGCGTCGAGACCGTGCGCCGCGCGCTCGCAGGCGTGGAGGGCGCGCACAGTGCCACTGTCAGCCTGCAGGACGCCTCGGCGGAGGTCCTCTGCAAGCCCTCCAGCACGATCGCCCACAGGATTCGCAGGGGAAGCAAGCCGCATGCAGTGGGCGCATCCAACACGGTCGGACCGAGGTATAAGATCGGGGTCGGTTCGGGGGGGGTGCCCTTGTGTTCTTCGTGTTTGTTGGAAGTTCTCGTGCGTGCTGGGTGAGGGTACCCCTCGGATGTTCTGGGTGTTTTGGTTGGCAGAGGGTCTCGTATTCTTGAGGGATGCTCTTCTGACCTAGGTCCGACTGCACAGTGAGAAACTTGCCTGCCTGCAGGTGCCGCACGGAAATGCCTGATCCCCCGCGTTGCCCCTGGGACCCACACATAACCATTGGCGGACAGGGGGGTTTTAGCTCGCCGCTTCCACTTTCGCACTACAACGCATGGGTCTCTGCATCTTGGCTTGGTGGAGCTGTTGCCGACGACATGTTTGCTCTTCTGTGTTTATGCAGCATCAACTCCGCAGAGAACATCGCGACACCTCTTGCGAGTTCTCGGCCCTCTTCTGAAATTGTTTTCCATATAAGATATCCCTGGCGTAGGCAGTCTCGGACTCCCACGTGGGGCTTCACCGCGGCAAGCTCGTCCAGCGTTTCCGGCACTGACCTAGCGCTACCCCTTCTGAGCCCAATGTATACATTGAGGCAGGCTTAGCCAACCTCCCCAGACATGCGACGTCCTGATTTTGTCTGGACGGCGTCCCCGGAAGGCTCGACCCGTTCCCCGGGACCGGTTTCTCGTCCTGGGCCGCTCTTCGACGCTCCCGAGGCCCGGGGAGGGCCCCCCGAGGCCGAAAACGGACAGAAACCTCCCGTCCTGATTTTTGTGACGACGCGACCGTGTATGGGTCTCTGTCTCGTCAGTGGCAGGGCAGCCTCAGGCTCTGCGAGGCGTGCTCCTGCATCGGCTTCGACGCCCAGGCGGCGAACAGGCTCTGAGGGCGCGGGCGCGCCGCGCCTGCCGGCTCGCTCACCGAGGGCGCCGCGCTGCTCTCAAGTCGGGCGTGCCCCGCTGCAGGGGGCGTGTTCAAAACTAGTCGTCAAAACATAGTCTGGGGACGCTTTTTCGACTATTTTTGGAGCCTTCTTGAGGCGCGCGCGTGGTGGGCGCTCTCTCGGGCCTCGGTTGGGTGGGGGGGGAGAGCGGTGAGCAGCGGGGAGGTGAGGAGGGGGGGGGAGGGGCAGGTCTAGGCCTCCTGGACGGGGTCGGGGTAGACGGAGTCGGAGGATCGCGCCGTGGTGCCGACGCATCGGCGATGCATCGGCGATGCGGCTCGATGTAGGGCCCAACTTTCTCCACGCCGACGCCGCCGATGCATCGCCGACGCCGCCAGTGCATCGCCGATGTATCGGCGCTGCGGCGAGGCCTTCCGACCCCATCTATTCGGACCCCATCTAGGAGGCCTCTAGAAGGGGAGGTGGAGGGCGAGGAGCAGGAGGAGGAGGAGGGCGGAGGCGAAGGTGAGGCAGCTCAGGAGGCGGTGGGGGGGGAGAAGAAGGCGGAGCGGGAGGGAACCAAGGGGTAGGTGCACGAGGAGGAGGAGAAGGAGGAAGAGGAGGGGGAGGAGGAGGAGGAGGAGGAGGGGGAGGAGGAGGATGGGGAGGAGGAGGAGGAGGAGGAGGAGGAGGAGGAGGAGGAGGAGGAGGAGGAGGAGGAGGAGGAGGAGGTTCCGCAGCCATTTTGGCTCAAGGCCGTATAGGGTACGGGGGCCGCGGGGCTGGCCTCAGCCCGTTGGCCGCCGCCTCGCGATGGCAGCACAGCGGGTGCCAACGACCAGGAGTCTTTTGATTGCGCTATGCTGAAGTCGAAGAACGACGAGTCCGCGTACTTCGAGTACGAGTCCGGTAGAGAGGCTTCCAGGACCTGCTGGCCGAGACTGGATACGCTGCCCGCCGCGGCAGCGCGATGAACTTTGACGTTTTCAAGCGTATCGCTGCGATGGCGTTTGCGACGAAGTCCCAGGCAATGACGAGCCACAAGGAGCTCCGTACCCGCCAGCATTGCGGAGACCAGGGGCTGCAGGCAGCGGAACCTGACTATAGGCAACGCACGGATTAAGAGGAACCGCTGAAGGACGCAGCGGAGCACGACCTGCGCGTCCAGAGGCGTGAGCTGCGCAGCGTGGGCTCCTCCGACAGGCTGGAGCATAAGTGCATCGTCATACAGGTGCCGATCTACCGGGGGTTTGACGCCTATCAGGGTTTCTGCGCGTACCAAGGGTTCGATGGGCACATTCAAGGCGAGGAAGGGCGGGACTGGCTCTGACTGGTCCACCATCCCTCAGATTCGCAGGCTGCTCTCCAGCCAGAGTTGCGAGACGGCGCTGGGCTATGAGACTGCGCTGGGCTACGAGAGCGCGCTGGGCCACAATGCGGCGCTGGGCTACTAGAAGGCGCTGTGCCACGAGACGGCGCTGGGCCACGAGAAGGCTTGTGGAGGACGATCAAGGGAGAGGAAGCATGGTGCCAAAACAGTTTCCAGATGACTAGGACATGTGTTAAACATGTTTTAAACATGGAAACATGCGTTAAACATGTTTAGAGCATTTCCCGAAATTTTAACACATTTTAAATTCAATGATAGGACTGTTAGGGTGTCCATTGTCGCGGCATCCACAAGAGAAGGCGCTGGGCTACAAGAAGGCGCTCGGCTACTGGAACGCGCGGTCCGCAACAAGGCGTTGGGCCATCAGAGCACGCTGGGCCGCGAGAACACGCTGGGCCACCACGCGCTACTGGGGCACGAGAAGAGCTGAGCCACTGGAGCGAGCTGGGCCACCAGAACATGCACGGCCACGAGAACATGCTGGGCCACGAGAAGGCGCTGGGCCTCCAGAGCACGCTGGGCCACAAGAACACGCTTTGCCATGACGCGGTTCTGGGCTACGAGAAGGCGCTGAGCCACCAAACCACGCTGGGGCACCAGAACACGCTGGCCCACGAGAGCGCGCTGGGCCACCAGAAAACACCGGGCCACGGTAAGGCGCTGGGCTACGAGAAGGCGCTGGGCTGCCAGAGCACGCCGGGGTACAAGAACGCGTTGCGCCACAATAACGCGCTTTGCTACGAGACGGCGCTGTGCTACCAGAGCGCTCACGGCCACGAGAACCTGCTGGACCACGAGAAGGCGCTGTGCTATCAGAACGCGCTGGGCTAAGAGAGCACGCTGGGTTTCCCAACCACGCTGGGCTACTGCGACGCGTGGGGCCGCGAGAAGGCGCTGGGCCGCTGGAACACACTGTGCTGTCAGGACGTGCTTGGCCACGAGATGGCGCTGGGCTTACTACTAGAACACGTTGGACCACCAGACCACGCTGGGGCACGATAGCACGTTGGGCCACGGAACGCGCTTGGCCATTGGAGCACGCAGGGCCACGAGAAGACGCTAGGCTACAAGCGCACGCTGGCCAACGAGGAGGCCCTGGACTTTCAGGGCACGCCAGGCCTCGAGAAGGCACTGGACTACGAGGATACGCTGGGCCGCCAGAACACGCTGCGCCACGAGTCGGCGCTGGGCTACGAGTAGGCGCTGGGCCACTGGAGCACGCTGCGCCACGAAGGGTCGCTGGGCCACGGGAAGGCGCTGGGCTATCAGAACACGCCAGGCCACGAGAAGGCGCTGTGCCACCAAAACGCGCCAGGCCACGAGAACACCCTGGGCCACGACGTGGTTTTGGGCCACGAGAAGGCGCTGAGCCACTGGAGCACGCTGGGCCACCAGAAGGCGCACGGCCACGAGAGAATGCAGGATCACGAGAAGGTGCTGGAATAGCAGAGCACGCTAGGCCATGAGAGCGCGCTGGCCTTCGAGAACACGCTGGGCCGCTGCGACGCGCCGGGCCGCGAGAAGGCGCCGGGCTATCAGGGTGCGCTGTGCCGCCAGTGTGCGCTGGGCTACGACACGGCTCTGGGCTACGGGAATGCGCCGGGCCACCAGAACGCGCTGGCTTAGCAGAACACATTGGGCTGCGCGAGCACGCCGGGCCACGAGATCACGCTGGCCGCGCTGGCGGGCGCAGCTGGCGGAAGTCAGTATCGACGCGGAGTTTGGCGCGGCTGACGGGGGCGTGGCCACGATGTGGATGAAGGTGTCTGGGAAGCTTCGCGTGCTCCACTGGAGGGAAGGATTTACGGCGCAACGGCGTCGATCATGAGTTTTTCGAGTGGCGATCGCGTGGCAGACTGGGCTGCTTGCCTGCGCGCGCCGTTGTCCAGCGCCCGTCTCGGCGCTGCGTGCGCGTCAGATGCGATTGCAAGATATGAGAAGATTGCCATGCCTTTATTCGCGCTGCAACACTACGTGCGCGCGCCCCTTTCCGCTGCGAGCGGCTGCTGCTCGGATGTCAGGATGCGAACGATGTGATAGACATGTTTCAGACCACTTCGGCAATGCCGTTGCCGCGGGGTCTTTTGCCACAAAACGCGACGCCTTCCATGAGGGATTTTCTTTGCGGTTGCAGTGCGGTGAACCTGTTTTGTTGGGGGCCGCCGTCGTATCGAGCAGTCTGCCCGAACCGTCGCGTGCATCGCCAAGCAGGGCGCGCATGTCTTCGCCGAGCTTTTTCTTTTCCGAAGTTGCCTTTGCGACGCAAGTTCCGCAGAGCGCCCCGCCTGAATGTCGCTCCTGCTTGCGCTGTGCATGCCCAGAGCTGCCGTATAGGAACCACGCAGCTTCGAAGATACGCGCAGGCTTGTTGTGTCTGGCCCAGACGGCCGACGCGCGGTAGCGCGTCGACTGCTGTGCTAGACGCTGCGGCTAGGCCTTCGAATGCATGAAGCTATGCCAGTGCGATGCAAATCAGGTTGTCGCACGTGCCAGATCGCCCGCGCGAGACGGCGCACTCTTTGGGCGTGCCCGAGTGCGCCGCCCAGGCCAGCGTCGAGATGCGATGCCGCCGCATGGGCGACCGTCATGTGCAACGACTCGCGGGTGCACCGATCGGCGCCTCACGCAGCAACTCCAAGTTGCCTCTGGCTCGGTCTCTCTGGGGGCGCGAGCTTGGCGCCGTGGCGTGGCCCCATTTTTGCGAGCGCCTTGGCATTTGTTGCCACGAGCCAGAATGTCTCATGTGTAATCGATCGGTTGACGACTTGATTTTGGTTTCGTTGGTGCTGTGCCAGCATTGGGCTTCGTTTTTGCGGTCGAGCGTGAGCGCGTCGTTGACGTTGAGATATGCTGGCGGCTCGTTATTGGGAGACGTCGGCCCCGGGCCAACATTCCGCGTTGTCCCACTCTGTTGGGGACAAAGGGATACAATTGTATCTATGTTGAATGTCATTCGTCTCTGCAAAGTTGGTGAGGCTTGAGCAGCTCGGAGTGGCGAATGTCGACCTGCTCCGCGTGGTTGCGGGAGATGTGTTGGAACATTGCTGGGGTGGTTTTCTTTTGATGTGCATCTGCCTGGTACGGTTGAGGCCACTCATCGATCGCGCGGCCCGCCGGCATGCCGTCAGCTTGCTCGGCCTATTCCGCCGCGTGCTCCGCGTGCGTTGGTGGAGCGACCGCTCCCGCCAGCGTCCGTCGCGTCGTGTATCGCAAGGTATGTTTATTGGATCGCGGCCGCGCCCTCCTCACTCGCTGCTGCGCGCGCTGGCGGCAGGGTGGACATGCGGGGGTGATGGGGGCGCTTGTGGGCCGCGCCTAGCTCTGAGGCGGCGCGGGGGCGCCCGCGCGCGCCCGGCCCCCTCGCTGGCGCGAGCTGTCGAGCGCGAGGAGTTCGATGCCAGAGTCGACTGCTTGACCTGGCGGGCGCAGAGGTGCCCTCTCATGGTAAAAGGGGTGGCGTGGGAGTCTGTCGCGCGCCCCGCTTAAAAACTTGCCGGAGGCCGTGCCGCTTGCGACGTTGGAGGGGTGGCGCTCGTAGAAGTCCGCACCGTGCCCAGTGGCGGGCAGGGGTTTGCAGGGCACAGGTGCTCATGTTCGTGCATCGATTTCCATGTCGATTTGGGGGATATCCTGTTTCTTCTGTTTCTTCGCCGTGGCTGCCAGCGGCGCGCCGCAACTTGGAAGGCGAATTTCACTTGCTAGCAGGAGGGGGGGTCAGGGGCCAAGACTACAGTTGTCGACGGTCTGGTGGGTGCAGTTTGTCATCTGCAGGAGGGGGAGGCGCATGCAGCAGCACGGGATGATGATGCTGATGCTGGTGCTGATGACGGTGATGATGATGATGATGATGATGATGATGATGATGATGATGATGATGATGATGATGATGGTGATGCTGATGATGATGATGGTGTTGGCGATGTTGATTATGGTGGTATTGATGACGGCGGTGATGTTGCTGCTGATGGTGTTGATGGTTGTGATGGTGATGGTGATGTTGATGCTGACTGTGGTGACGATACCTATGGCGATGCTGGCGATGATGATGAGGATGCTGTTGACGATTCGGATGATGACGATAGTGATGGTGATGGTGATGGTGGTGGCGATATCGACGGCGATGGTCACGCCGATGCTGCTGCTGATCATGACAATGCGGATTGTGATGATGAAGAAACTGCTGATGATGCTGCTGATGATGATGATGATGGTATTCACGGTTGTGATGGTGATGCTGGTGATCGGAATGACGATGATGCCATTGATTGTGATTCTGGTGATGTTGATGCTGGTGGTACTGTCGATGTCGATGACGACGACAATGATGATGCTTATGGTGATGCTGATCATGCGGATGATGATGTCGATGCTGCTAATTTTTTTGATGATGACGACTTTGATGTTGTCAGTTATGACGAAGCGAGTGGTGATGCTGATGATGGCAGTGATGATGATGCTGGTGACTATGGTGATGATGATGCTGATGATGCGGGTGATAAACGATGATCATGCTGCTGTTGACGATGCTGATGATGATGATGATGATGCTGATGATGATGATGATGATGATGATCATGCTGCTGCTGATGCTGATGATGACGGTGATGATGCCGACGATGATGATGACGCTGCTGGTCGTGATGCTGATGATAATGGTGATACGGTTGATGTTGGGGATGGTGGTAGTGATGACGATGATGATGCTGATGCTGATCATGCTGCTGTTGATGATGATGACGCCGACGATGATGATGACGCTGCTGGTCGTGATGCTGATGGTAATGGTGATACGGTTGATGTTGGGGATGATGGTGGTGATGACGATGATGATGCTGATGCTGATGCCGATGATTACGATACTGCTGCTCATACTGGTGATGTCGATGATGATGGCGATAACGATGAACGATGATAATGATGAGGTTGATGACATCTGTGCCGACATGGCCTTCCAAGGCCCTTACTCTTTTGTCGTGCGTCCTTACTGTACGGGTTGCCATCAGGATGGGCAAACGCACAGACACACATCAACGTCGATTCCAAGGAACATACGGGAACATATGGGACACGAAGGGGAAACCGATACCCAGAAACTATGGAAAAGTATGGGGGGTCCTTGGATGTGCTTCTGCTTCTTTGTGTGTCCCTGGGCCCCTTCATGACTGTACCTTCTCCGCCCCTCCCTCCCCCCTCCGCCTTCCGCCCTCCTCCACCCTTCGGTTCCCGCCTCTCCATTCCCACTCCTGCCCCCCTGCCTCTCCCCTTCCCCCTTTCCCCCCCCCCCCTCCTGCTCCCCTCCCTTTTCCGTCCCCTTCCCCCTTCTCTTTTCCCCCTCCCTTCCCCTTTCACCTTTCCCCTTTCCCTTTCCCCTTCCCCCTCCCCTTTCACAGTCAGTGATTCGCCTGGAACTCCAGCTTGGGGCCGAGATGTTCACAGTGACACGCCTGGAATTTCCAGAGCTGGCTCGGCTGTGTGCCTCATTTCCCGCGCAGCTACCGTCACGGTGCACGCGGCCAGGCCGCTCTCTTGAGCGGCTCGAGCGCGGCAGGTTTCGTGTCAGGAAAGGCGCGCGGCTTCAGTGCGCAGCGCACGACGTGGGATGATTTTTTAGAATCCCAGAGCCACGCGAACTCTCCGCGCTTAGGTTGTAGTCAGCGTCCCCCCCTCTGCTTCTCTGCTCCCCCCCTCCGCCTTTTCGCTTCCACTGCCCCTCACGCCCCTCTCGGCCCCTCCTCCTCTCCCCATCAGCGCCCCCACTCTCCTGCCTCCCTTCCCCCTCCCCTTCCGTCCGCCTAACCATCTTCGCCCCCCTCAACCCTCCCCCTCATGCTGCCCCCCCCCCACTGAACA